CCCTGGAGAGCTGTAAAGAGGGGCTATGGCTCAGCGGCAGAGCCTCTGCTTGGCATGCAGGAGGTCCCAGGTTCAATCCCCGGCAGCATCTCCAGTTAAAAGGACCAGGCAGGAGGTGATGGGAAAGACTTCTGCCTGAGACCCTGGAGAGCTGTAAAGAGGGGCTATGGCTCAGCGGCAGAGCCTCTGCTTGGCATGCAGGAGGTCCCAGGTTCAATCCCCGGCAGCATCTCCAGTTAAAAGGACCAGGCAGGAGGGGATGGGAAAGACTTCTGCCTGAGACCCTGGAGAGCTGTAAAGAGGGGCTGTGGCTCAATGGAAGAGCCTCTGCCTGGCATGCAGAAGGTCACAGGTTCAATCCCCGGCATCTCCAGTTAAAAAGGACCAGGCAGGAGGTGAAGGGAAAGACCTCCGCCTGAGACCCTGGAGAGCTGTAAAGAGGGGCTGTGGCTCAGCGGCAGAGCCTCTGCTTGGCATGCAGGAGGTCCCGGGTTCAATCCCCGGCATCTGCAGTTAAAAAGGACCAGGCAGGAGGGGATGGGAAAGACCTCCGCCTGAGACCCTGGAGAGCTGTAAAGAGGGGCTGTGGCTCAGTGGAAGAGCCTCTGCTTGGCATGCAGAAGGTCCCAGGTTCAATCCCTGGCATCTCCAGTTAAAAGATCTGGCAGTAGGAGATGGGAAAGACCTCCGCTGGAGGCCCTGGAGAGCAGCTGCCTGTCTGAGTAGACAATCCTGACCTCAATGGACCGAGGGTCTGATTTGGTAGAAGGCAGCTTCACGTGTTCATGAGACTCAGTGAGAAGATCCCTATGGACTTCCCGCTCCCTACACCTGCCAGTGAGGTCCTGCCAAGGGGTCTTCCCTCAGGAGATGGTTTCAGGCCATGTCAGTCTGCACTAGAAGAACAAGATTTGGGCCCACTGGCACCTACAAGGTGTCCGGGGTATCAGCTTCCAGTGCTCAAGGATCCCTTCATCTGGCAAAGGGAGAATTTACTCTCGATAGCTTATACCCTGGAGATCTTTTTGGTCTGTAAGGTGCTGCCAGACTCAAATGTTGTCCGTCAGGAGCACGGCCTTCTTGGTGGTTGCCCCAGTACTGTGAAACTCGCTCCTCCAAGATGGCCATCTCTCGCCTCTTTCAAGGGGCAGGTAAACACGGCCCTTTTGTGTTACGCCTTCTGGTTTTCCTGGGGGCCCTGACAGAATGTTTATTGGGGGAGTTATTGCTTTTTTCTCCTGTAGCTATGACTTTCAGGGCTCTTTTTGTAGCAGGAACGCCTTTGCATATTAGGCCACACACCCCTAATGTAGCCAATCCTCCAAGAGCTTACAGAGCTCTTCTTACAGGAGCTACTGTAAGCTCTTGGAGGATTGGCTACATTAGGGGTGTGTCGCTTAACATGCAAATGAGTACCTGCTACTCGTTCATACCATTCTACCACTTTCAAAGCTCGTGTCCTGTGGCAGCACAGGAATAGATGAGTTTTGTCGCTGACTTCTCTTTCTTCTGGTTCTTTTCCCTCATCAGGATGCAACGACTTGATCAACTCCATTTTCGACTTTGCGAACAGTCTCTGCTCCTTGCACTTCTCCGAGAACGAAATTGCCCTTTTCACGGCACTGGTGCTTATTAACTCAAGTAAGCGAACATCACTGGAGCGCTCTCTGGCTGCGTGTTAATCGTTCGGCTGCTTTCCAAAAAGTTCTTGGAGGGTCTTTCTTTGAGTCCCTATAGAATCATTGAGTTGGAACGGACCTCCAAGGTCATCTAGCCCAACCCCGTGCACAGTGTAGGAAATTCACAAATATCTTCCCCTCCACACCCCCAGTGACCCCCTGTTCCATGCCCAGAAGATGGCAAAAAAACCTCCAGGATCCCTGGCCAAATCAACCTGGGGAAAATGGCTTCCTGACACCAAAGTGGCGATTGGCATTTCCCTGGGTGTGTAAGAAAGGCCCACGAGAACCAAGCACTGAGGCCCTCCTTCTCATGGTCTGCCCGAGTTCACAGAATCCGCATGGCTGTCAGATGGCCATCGAGCCTCTGTTTTTAAAAACCTCCACAGAAGGTGAGCCCACCACCTCCCGAGGAAGCCTGTTCCACTGAGGAAC